CTATATATATATATATATATATATATATATATATGGGCAACATAATTTCTGGTACACATTTATTATACTACTTTCATCTGTGTGACCAAGCATGCGTGTTTATCTTCAATTTTACATGGTGAAATGAACCATCACCAAATTAAAATTATCTTGTGAATGGTACAAATTTTTTAACGCGGATGCTAACTATGGGTGACCTATAAAATTTTTGAATCCAAACCTCTAGAATATATAGATACACAACATAGGCAAAAGGTAGTACAGATATCTAACTAAGAAAAGTTAATTATTTGTTGAAAATTTAAGACTATTACTGTTAGTTGATGGAACTCTCAAAGAAAAAGAAAATTTTTCGTGACAATGAAGTGAAAAGATCGAGTTGTGAGGATGCTTTGGAAGGTGCAATGTCATTGGTGGCAAAACTGGCAACAGCATTGTAGTTTTTGGTTTTCATTCACACTTGTACATGGTCCGTGGGAGATGTTCTTTGGAAGTATCCCTTTTGGGCAACTTGACCCCTAGCTTATTTTTGCTTACCTATTTTGCTTACCTGATCTTGTAACCATGTGATCTACGTCTTCTAGACTTCCATTTGGATATATGCCTATCTGACGTATAACCGACTTCTTATCTTGCTGCGCATGTCTTACTTATTAGTTTTCAATGACACAAATAACTGTTTCCTAATTATGCTACCCATCTAAAACATTTCATAAATGGAAAAAAAAAGCAGCAGACTAGTAGACGAGTCATCGAGATTAAACCTTTGATTCGGAACCAACACTTTAAAGTTTCTAGCTTGCTGCCCATGTCTTACCCATTATTTTTGCAATGACGCAAGTAACTATTTCCTAATTATGCCACCCATGTATTGTAACAGAAAACATCTAAAATATTTCATAAATGAAAAAAATGATGCAGCAGACTAGTGGACAAGTCATCGAGATTAAACCTTTCGGAACCAACACTTTAAAGTTTCTGCGATATGTGATCCTCCATATCTGATACATAGGAAACCTTTCGTACTTTCCAGTTTCACCTTAAGATCTTCAGCTTTTGACTTCGTATCAGTATTGTTTCCCGTATTGCTCATCACAAATTGACATTAACTCTGTATGTTGGACTCTTAGTAGTTGATTATTAGCTTTAGTTGGCATGCTCATTGGGAGGTTATCTATTTGTTTTTATTAGAGGAACTTTTCTGGTGTATTTTCTGCACCTATTGGATCTTCAATTGAATTTTATCTCTTACACCACCTGAGGGACTCCATTGCTTGCTTGAGGTGATATTTTTATGCAAGTCATAAGTTGCATCCTTTTAGTTCTAATTCTAATGAAGCTTTCTGGTTCCTGTGGCAGATCTTCTTCCAGAGAATGAAACAAATGGTTATATACTCATCCATGCTGAGGGCGGATTAAATCAACAGCGCATATCTGTATGATTATGACTGTTTGTTCTTAACTTGATTGTGATACTGTATGCCTGGTTCTCTTCTTCCTTTTCCTATGCATGAAAATTGTATGATGCAACACTGGTTATCCTTATAACTGCCAAACTTTTTGTTTTGAATGGTACCAATGTTTTTATTAATCCAAAAAGTTGTTCTACTAGTACATACTGCATTTACAAAACTGTGTCTGCATAATAACTGGAAACTTTCCTTTTGTTTAGTTTGTATCATGCAAAATTTTTAGTTCTGTGAGGTCATATATATATATATATATATATATATGTATATATATATATATACTCAGATTGAATTTGGGCCCGATCCAATAGTCACGACCTTAATTCGTATTTGAATTTTCATTTTTTCTAAAAATCCAAATCATTTGAAATTTTGAGCGTCTATTCTTTAGAAATAGGAGAATCTAATAAAAATATAAAAAAAATAATATACAAAAATAAATTGACCAAAATAGCCCCAAAACATTTCAGGAGTATTTTGGTCAATTTATATTTTGTGAATTATTTTTTAAATATTTTTATTAGGTGCGCCTTGATGAGAAGAATGAACGCTTAAAATTTCAAGTGATTTGTGCTTGTAGAAAAGAAATAAAAATTCAAATACAAAATGAGGTCGTCACCGTTAGATCGGCCTAGATTGTTGGTTAACACTGTAGCTATTAGCGCGTGGGCTGACAGAATCCATTCCCATATATATATATATATATATATATATATATATATA